CAAGGGTGGGGTTGGACGTAGAAAGTTGACTAACCAAGAACTGTTGGCCTCTGATCAGCGACGTATAGAAGTAAAATATCAGATTACAGGAAGCGCTTCGAAAGGATTTGTAGTCGTTGTCGTCAAAAAATGACGTCATCAACAATATAACCTTATATTTGTTTATACACGGGGGTTAGTTTAGCGTCTTACTCAAGATTTTAAAACGCAAAAAACCCACTTCGGGGGGTTGGTCAAGTGTTTAAACCCCCCATGGGGTGGTTAGTTTAGTTTCTTACTCAGGGGTTAAAACACTTGAATGAGACACTAAACTAACTCCCCTTCGGGACTAACCAAGGTTGGTTGCGTTTTACAAACTTGACACACACACCCCTAGGAGCTCCGAAAGGAGCGCCTTGCCCTAGTATGCTTAAAATCTAATAACATGAATGATTCAATTTTCCCGGAATATGTACGAAATCGAAGTTGGAAACTATAAATATGAAGTGCATGTCGATAGCTTATATATTACTACTAAATTATATATTTACATTTTATGTACTCTATAACAAGTTCCTAATTTCTAATAATTCTTACTTTTTGTAGGATGACCTATTAATAACATCAGCAGCTAGATTGACTCTTTATGGGTGTCTCCTTCCGTTTGGTATGACAGAAATTTTTCTGCCGTTTTCACTGAAAAGCATCTTTGCCTGTGTAATTGTATTGGAAAGTAACTAGTAAAGACCTCTGAGAGATGCCAAAAAATAAAGGTAAGTTGTGTACGTGAATGCTAGATAGAAATTTTAAAAGGGACTGAACATATTTTGTGCCCGTGATGATCACAGATTTCATGACGGCCATTTCGCCTGTGAACGTTTTGCATAAGAACAGTATGAAAAATGGCAACATTTCATGTCCGTGAACGACGAAAAGTAATTGCCTTCAGTTTTATTTTAATAACGACGAAATTATACAATATATGTAGCTACAGAAAAAGAGGCGGACAGTAGCATCTTGTCTTATAACCTATCAAAGGCAGCATGTTTCATTTCCAGGAAAGGGAGGTAAAAATAGAAGGAGAGGAAAGAATGAAAATGAAACGGAGAAGAGAGAACTGGTCTTCAAAGAAGATGGTCAAGGTACGTGGTAAATTTATTAATAAAGTTATTTCGATTTGGCTTTTGACTAAATGGTGGACATTCATGAATGTGTTGGATTGTTGCCTAAATGGTCGAGACAGCAAGGACCTCTGAAACTTTGGTAAACTTATACCAAACTACGGCACTACGTCAGGAACTACGTATATAGTGGATTCAGTTCTTGACAGGGATGGAGGGTTTTTCTCTTTTCCACCATATCCAGATGGAACTGTGGCCTGTCCTCTCAGTGACAGAAGCCATTTTCTTGGGGATAAAGTGGGTGAAGCTAATCATTCACATCAAGCTGTTGTTAAGGTTGAGAATTCATTGATCTAAACCTATGCTCTGCTATGTGTCTTCATGGTGTGATGCTTCATTAAGCAGCAGGGACAATTTTCTGATTTTACTGAGAACCCATTATGAATCTTTGTTCTTATACTGACTTTTGACTGAGGTTTTCTCGTGTATTTCAGTCCCTCCATATTCATTCCACTTCACTGTTCATAATCAACCTCTATCTCATAATAATACACAACTTCTTGTTAGTCATGTTGCCTGTATTTTCACAGGTATACCATAGGTTTGTGCATCTGGTATCTCTCATGTTTACATAAAAACAGTATGTTAGTCTGTTGTGGAATATGGTAAAGGTGACAGTTATAGCAGAAGTAGTAGCTTGATCTTCACGAAGACCTACAACAGTAAATCATAGTAGTGGGGTGGTGACAGCCTTCAACTGAAGTCTGGGTAGAAATTCTTTTGTGGTTCCCAGGGGAATTCCCACCTTGTCATGAAACCACATGGGGAATCCCTGTGAAGACAACATCTCAGTTTCTGATACTCTACCCAAGCAAAGGTCATTGACTCCAGAGAACTTTGATGTCACTGGTGTCATTTGAAAATGTCAAATTGTGGTGAATGTACCAGAATTGTTATATTTTGTGTCCATTGCCTAACTTGCTTATATCCTATGAAAACTGTGGGAAGGAACCTGTTTAGTAAGACACCTGACTGTGAAAGGGATACTTAAACTACCTGTGAATAAAAACTTGATCAACTAAACAGAACTCGTTAGTTTGATACTTTGCAATATTAATTGTGTCACTTATGTTTCAGAATATGCTCAAGTAACTAAGATGCTAGGAAATGGTAGGCTTGAAGCAATGTGTTTTGATGGTGTGAAGAGATTGTGTCACATCCGTGGCAAGTTACGAAAGAAGGTAAGTGCAGTAGTGAATTCTCTATATTGATAATATGGATTTAGCAGATCTCTGTCAAGTTTTTTGATTTGTTTAACCATGTAGCCTTAATATAACTACTGTTTACTGTTTTAAAGGTGTGGATTAATCAGGGGGATATCATACTTATTGGGTTACGTGATTACCAAGATGCAAAAGCAGATGTTATCTTGAAATATACTCCAGATGAGGCTAGGAACTTGAAGACATATGGAGAATTCCCAGAAACAGGTAAGAGCCATGTGAATTTTAGTTATGATTTTGATACAGTGATCGCCCATTCTTCATATTTGAAAGATACAGTCCCTGAAGCTAGCTTTCAGGATTGAAAATGGTTCTAGTGTTACAAAAGCTTTGAAACTTTTGTAAGAATAGCAGAAAATGGAGATAATGTAGAATAGTATGAGAAAATAGTTCCCGGAATGTATACAAAATTGTTTATGTTACAGTTCGTATTAATGACACTGTCACATTTGTGGAGGATGGCTTTGATGAAGATATTGAATTTGGTGATGAGGTGAGCGACGAAGGTGAAGGTGATCCTGTGGATAATGTAAGTATCGTACTGCAGAGCTTTGTACCTTGTGTTGGTTTGGTCATTTAATTTATTATTGGAAAGTTTGCCAATCCTGCACACCATTTTCTTTGTTACAAATTAGTATTGTTAAAGATACTGATGTGGAATATGAATGTGTGTGTGTGGCCTGAGGATGGATATTAATTGAATTTTTCTGAGATTTTTATGTGCATTCATATTGTTTATATAGTGTAGTAATCTTTGTTAGTCTGCAGTATTTATAACTTTGTTGTTATGTCTTACACATGCACACTTATACATACACTCTTTTCCACAAACTGTATCATATATTCTCAACACTTCTTGAAAAATCTAAGATAGATCCCATTTTAAGCGGTGGCTTATCTACTTCTCCCACCAGAATATTGTGTGCTGTTTCTCCACCACAATTTTATGTGCGTTTCTTGTCTCTATCTTCATAGGTAGAGACAAGAAACACGCATTATGGGCAGGTGAATTTTACCTTCTACACAATATAGTATAATTTTTTTCATGAAATTGTGTAAGTTTAATACTGTATGGAGAGGAAAAAAATATTTAACACCCAAGAATAAATCATGTAATGGCCTGATCATGATTGACTCTGGTTTTTCAGATCTGATGTTGGGAGCAGACAGCTGTTTGTTTTCATTACTCCACTACAAGGGAGAAACAACTCTCCGGAATGAGTAGACAGTGTATAATGCACTTACTCCATAGATTCTTGTTACTAAAATTCATACAGTCCTTAAACATTCTTCCTCCCATCATATACCTAACTTGATGTATATTATACTGGTTTATGTCTGTTTTATTCGTAATAAACAGGACTTCCTAGACTGTGTCATCTAACTGCTAAGAGTTTCGGTTCTTTTAACCGTAACCTATGCAATGGATTTATTGTATAGTGGGAATGTTGATTGTTTTAAATCTTAAATTATTAACCATTCCGGAAGGTATCCAAACTCTTCTTGGCTAGTTGACATAGCTCTACACTTTAGAATAAGAAATGTTTGTTGTGAAAGTAATTCCAAATGTTTTCAGTAACAAAAGCTAGTTCATATTTATACCTCAGTAAAAAAAATTTTTATTGCAGTGTAATCCAAACATGGTTTATTTTATATAGGGAATAATTAAATTGTATCATTATATCCAGAATTACATTAATTGAAGTAGGGTAAAATAAATTTAATATAATGTTAATATTGACATTTGTAAGATCTTGAGCTTGCTGTGGAAAGATAGTGACCTGTGTGTGACTTCCTCTGCTTTTGTTTTTATTACTCATATTGTTTACAGATATTTAGCATCAGACAGTAAATGTAATTTGCACATAATTTATTTTTATGTAATTTGTGTATATATTGCATTTTGTATTGTTTTTCAGAAGATGCTGCAAATAAAGGTAAAGGGTTATACTGTTTATATGAATATTTTTTTAGTTTTCTTTTTATTAGGAATTTTCATGTAATCTGTGAAAAACAAAAATAAATCAGTCCTACAATATTTATATTTCACTACTGCCATTTGTGAAGCCTGTTACAAATTTGTGGACTTTGGAATCTGAATATTTAAAATTGGTATACTTCAAGAGATGAATCCTGAGGGGAATCATTTTGTAAATTAAATTCCAAATGCAATCAAATATAAATTTAATTCCTGCATATTCAGTCTCTTCTGCACTGCTTCAAATATGGTGATGCTTATAACAAGATCTTTCTTGAATGTATGTACTATAATTAAGACAAAGCAGGGAAGCATACCCATTCAGAGCAGCACGAAGGTGCATGGCATGTTTTTTTAACAAAAATGAGTTGTCAGTAATGTACATATATGCAGATAAGAATGGAAAATCCCTGCATTCTAGTATTTGTTTTGTATTGACTTTGAAACTTAGTTCTGAATGAGAGATGTAAAGCTTGTATTCAACTGTTCTGATTAATCATACTTTGTGAAAACTAATGAGAAGTTCTGGGGGAAAAAATTGTTTTGTCTGCTTTCTTTCAAGTGTGTATATTAGAGCTAGCATTGGCTGGGTAATTTTGTCTCGGAGGAATTCACACACATAGTTAGGTGTCTAGCTGAGAGTTCTTCACCAGTCACTTCCACATGCAGATATGTTATTGTTAATCATTTTTAACCAGAATTGTAATGTGTCAAAATAAAATTGTAAAAAAATCACTTTTTAGTTGTTACATATGAACAGGCAGACAGCCATATCATTTTTATAACTTTTATTTATGAACAAGTCTAAGCAGACAAGTGAAGTAATTTATTTCAGCTTACTAAATTGTGAGAAATTTGACATACCTATACTAGTTTAAGGCTACCTTTCTTGAATAACTCATATGAAAACCTTTTCAAGTGCGTAATGGCATCTTTGACTATGTTATTGCTGAAAAATGAATTTGTTTTTTTCATATCTCAGAAGACTTAAAGACACTACAGTGGTTTCATAGCAATAGTATGGCTACTATAAGCTTGTAGACTAGCTAATTTAGTTTTCATCGTCCAAGCTACAAAGGCATTGATCAAATAAAGTTATTCAGCAATTTAATAGTTCTTGCCTTCACTTCATTCAAAGTCAGATAAGATTTGAGTCATTTGTTACCAGTAAAGCCGTGGTTGCAGATTTTAAAAATATGGAATCTCATTATTCCTTAAGTATTTTGTTTGAAGTTGCCACCATTTAAATGGGAAGAAAGGCATTATGACTTTGACTATTACGTTTGCAAAATAAGTACCATCCAATCTGCGAAATATATAATTAAGTGGATAGGAACGATAGTGAAATTACGAAATTATCCGATTTTGTTTCGTAAATCTGATTTTGAAAACGCGCGTAAACACCATTTTAGTTTGGGAACTATCTGGTAGGGCAATGTGTAACATCGGTTGGTAATAACCTACAATTATGACGGACGCTTGAACGAAGTGCGAAAGTAATTTTAATACCCGTGTTTTTAGACGCTGAAAGAGATGTATTAATGCTTGCTTTTCTTCTGATTATATGTGAGTGAGTTGTGATTTCAAAAAATGTAATACGGTTTCTTTTGGTTCTGTGCACAGTAACTTTAAAGCGCAAATTGTAAATTGTACTTCACTGCAGTGACGTTAGGGTTACTGGGATAGCCGAAACTAATGTAATTGACAGTTCCTGAAATTCAGAAAACAATAACGTGGACCATGAAAATGGAGCATTCACGCCTGGCCCCACCAGATGATCTCTATTCTGGTTACAATGAGTATCCCTCAGTTCTCAGCACTAAAGATTTATTAGAAGACGAAATATTCCAAGAAGCCATTCGGACCAGTTATGGGAGGAGACCAGTGGTAAGTTTCAGACCTTCTTAAAACAGTTCTTCTGAGTAGTTACAGAATTTTATTGTAGTGTATAGTTACTGCAGTACGAATGCAAGAGTGTTGTTTTTGTAATACCTTACTTTTACTTTATAGCGCACATCAAAACCCGGCACAGCCATACGATTAGGTACAGCAACAAGGGTTAGTAATTTTTATTCTTTAATTACATATTATCTTTCTGTGCCTTGGAGATATGGAACATAAGTTATCTTCAATGTTGAATGATAGTGTGCACTTCTGTTTCCATTTCCAGCACCGTGAAGATGAAGTTGAAAGGCTAATGACAGCAAGGCCAATGACAGCTGTGAGAGGTGCAGGGTACACTTCATCTGCAGGTCAGCGCCAGTTTGACCCTCTAAATCAAGCTGCAAAAGTTCCCACAACACCACAGCTGGAAGCAAAACGAGAAGATTCGTAAGTTTTTTAATCATAATTTTTAATGTGTTGTAAATTAACATGTGGAAAAGTAGTAAAGTTCAGCCATAAAGAGACCTGTCAGTTGAAATGAGGTTAAAAATGTATAGTCAACAAGGTAAAATATCATCCATATCACACCAGGGTGGTAAGCTAAAATGTAATATTAATATTAAAAGAAACAGCAATGACACAGCAGTCTGTCGGTACAATGATTTGACAGCAGGTCTGGGGTTAGAAATGTACACAATGCACATATATTATCTTATTATTGTTGTTACATTTTAGCCTGCCATCCTTGTGGGCTAAATATGAATGTGTGTGTTGGGGTATAGTTCTTTTTTAACTTTTAGTGGATACAAGTGCAAAAAACCTATGTATTATTCATGTTTGGAAAGTAACATATTATTTTAAATTGGCATTTGGACGGTGAACTCTTAGTTAATTGATCGTATATTCTAGTATTTTTTCAATCATATTAATAAGTATGATTCAGTGATATTGCATTATTAATTACCTCTTTTCAATTTTGATTTATATTATTTCAGACCAGAAGAGAAGATACGAAAATTAGAGCACAGAATTACAGAGCTGATTGAAGAATCTTGTTTGGCAAGTAGTCGAGGAGAACAGAAGTTGGCACTGGATAGAGCTAAGGATGCCTCTAGCAAAGAACGCAGTCTCATTCGCATGCAGGAACAAGCAGGCCTCAGTGAAACACACAATCTCGATCTCACGTTCTCGGTACTTCAGGATTTTACATCATCTGTTAGAAATGTGGCAAATCTTTACATTATTTTTTATTCTAATAGCACATGAATAAATAATTGTAAGTAATTGTATGTTACATGATGTATGATTTGAGGTTTTCACAGCGGTGAGTATGAAGATTTCTGTCTTCTGGGTTGTTGCGCTGTGTAGTATGGTAGATGTTAACTAACGTTTCAGAGGTCATACTGCCCCCTGTCATCAGCACAGTTTCATCAGTTTTCCTTGTAGGGTTTATTCTTTTATATGGGTGCACAGCAAATTTCCATTCCAGTTTCAAATCTGTCAAATATGAGAATAAAACAGTTGATGTGGTGGTATGTGGTAAATAATATTCTCATTTGCAGGTACTCTTCAACCTGGCAAACCAGTATGCCAACAGTGAGATGTACTCTGAAGCTCTTAACACTTACCAAGTCATCACAAGGAACAGGATGTTTAACAACGCAGACAGACTCAAAATAAATATGGGGAACATTTATCTGAAGCTGGGACAGTTCAGTCGTGCACTTAAGATGTATAACATGGCTCTGGATCATGTTCCTGCAATACACAAAGATCTCAGGTTGGTTATTCTAAGATGAAACCTGTCATTATTCAGGTGTGCCTGCTAGAAAGTGTTAAATTCATGGGAATCAAATAGTTTAATTTTGTTTTTTATTAGTATACATAATATTATTTATGGGCGCATGTTACAGCATAAACGTGTGCATTTGTTTGTGTGTTGGCAGCATAAAAAAACGTGGTATTACTGTTGTTGTTGTTCTTCTTCTTCTTCTATGGCTCTCTGGTCCTTATTCAGTACATGGCCTCCTCAATTCTCCTCTTCTATTCAGTCCTTTGTTAGGTCTGTCTGTCCGAGACTTTGATTGAGGTTTTGAAACATCTTCCTTTTTACGGTGCAAGGTTGTTAGCCTTGCGACAAACCCCCAATCTGGAGGACCAGGGTACCTGTCTTAGTCCGACCTCTCCCCCTCGACCAATCTAGCTAGGGAGGCCCTACCAGTAGCTATGCTACCGCCTAGCTCTTGGGGTCACTGAAGTACTCAAGCCCCACCACCACGACAAGGTGCAGGTACCATTAAGTGGGGGTGGTATTACTGTTAGAAAGGTATTTTTCTCTAGTGAGGTTCAAGTTTTGTGTACACTATGCTCATGTCTTTATCAATCTTCAGAATGTTACACCTTTATATTGCAGATTGAAGATAAAACACAACATAGGCATTGCATTTGTGAAGATGGGACAGTTTAGTGAAGCGTGTTCCAAATTTGAGGACATTATGCAAGAAAGGCCAGATTATGCCTCAGGTAAGGTCCCCAATTCTTTGTACAGTCAAACCTTGGTTCACGAACTTAATTCGTTCCTGAAGGTCGTTCGTAAACCGAAACTATTTTCCCCATAGGAATTAATGTAAAATGGATTAATCCGTTAATGGATTCCAGATGATTGCTTATTTCAAATTTTACAACAGTACTTTGTGCACAAGTTCTTAACACAAAATCAATGGAAACCATTAAATCTATCACAAAAAAGATAAACACAACACTAAGCAGATCAAATATAGACGAAAACTTAATTTAGTTTTACCGTACCTGTATGGAGGAGAGTTGACGGCGTAAGTGGAAGGTGGTGAGGAAGTAGAATGTCATTGTTTGGAAGGGAATTCTTTTTCTTTTTTCTGTCTCTTGCCACCACTCGACTCTGCATCAGACTCACTGGGCCTCTGTCTCACTAAAATGTTGTCCAGCGTGATTTGTTTTTGTCTACATTTTAAAATGTTTTTAAAGTGTCAAATGGCATTATCATTGAAAATGTTTATGCTGCGGCTTGCTACTGCTTTATCGGGGTGATATCGTTCCACAAAACTTTGCACCTCACCCCATTTTGCACAAATTTCACGGATCAAAGAAGTAGCAAGATCAGAGACACGAACACCATTTTCATGTTTGGCTATGATTTCTTTCTTAACATCTATTATGATATTGGTATTTTTTCTTTTCACTTTGCTTCTATCATCGTCTTTCTTTGGCCCCATGCTGGATCATTCTTCTACGAATACTGCCGACGCTGATACTCCCAGCTTATCGCTCCACGATGTTGACGGCTTGCGTGTTCGTAACTCGAGACACAGTACGTAATCCGAGACGCTTTGTGTTTGGAAAATTTGTTCGTAAACTGAATTGTTTGTGATCCGAGGCGTTCGTGAACCGAGGTTTGACTGTATTTCTTTTCTTCGCAGAAATTTTGTTTACGTGTGTTAACTGTAAAATAAAAATATACCTTTGTTACAGGTCTTCACATGATCTTATGCTACTATGCACTGGGCGAAAGAGATAAGATGAAACGCGGATTTCAAATGCTGCTGGAGTGTCCCCTTAACATTGATGATGATGAAAAATACAATGCTACATCAGTAAGTACTCCGTAAAACTTTTATAATCTCTACCATGAGAACCTGAACTCTCAAATTAGAGAAACTTTACCTATACCATATGGAGCTGCCAAAGGATGAATATAATACAGTATATATATATGCCAAATTGGGTTGTTTGACTGAAGTAGCTGTTGTATTTTCTTGTAATTGGTTGATCCAGGATGACCCTGCATCTAACCTCATTCTGGAGGCGATAAAGACGGACTCTTTACGGAAGCTGGAGCAAAGCATGAGGCAGGAGGCAGAACGGAGCATCCTGACAGCAGCAAAACTCATCTCACCTGTCATAGAACATTCTTTTACTGCGGGTATAACCACTAGATGTGCTTAGTCTAAAAATATTATATTAGTTCTTAATAGAGGTAACTTATAGTTCTGCAGTACAAATTTCTAAGTTTATTAAGTGCTGTAATGAAACCAAGAGGTTTAAATGCTTTTTCTGGCCTATTTCTAAATAACTTAATGGAGCAGAGCCCTTATTCAGAAGCTGATTGTCACTCGGTTACTCAAGAAATTCCGTCACTTTGGGAATCTATTAGGGAGTGGCCTGGGGTGGACTATACCACTGCTACCCACCGGTTTGTTATGGAATGGGTAGATGACAGAGTTTGAACCCTGCCACTTGTCCACACTTGTAGTGTCGTGGCCAGTTGCATGAGTCTCACTGCTGCCACTTCTACATTTACATGACCGGTTGAGGGAGAGTCAAACTCTGCAGTTCCAGCTTCCGAGCTTCCCATCATGGGTAGCACTACCAACTCGGGAGGGGAAATCTTTATGAAAAATACTTTACTAATGATAGCATCACCTGTCTTCAGGCTTGGGTA